TGACCTCGGTTCTCATTTTTCTCTGTCAGGAGTAGGAATATCAACCTGCATCCTAGTCACTGAGCTCCTCCTACCCTCCCAGTGCTTCTGTCCAGCCTGAGGCTCCTTATCCTCAGGTGGCAAAGCTTGGGCCAGGGATGAGATACCATTCACCCCTACTCCTGCATGTTTGCTGATAGGAAGTGTCACCCCTACTCCTGCATGTTTGCTGATGACAAGTCCTCAGGGCCTGGCTAGTGTTGATGAGCTTTTCAGTGCCTCTGCATCCTTATGTGCAAAAAGTGGTGAATCTGTACCCCTTGTTTCTCCTAGTGGTGTTAATCTTAAGGACATTTTTATTCCAAAATTTGTTATTAAGGAATTAAATCCTGCTGGAAGTCCCAGATGTGCTCACAAGTCAATTTTGTGCTTTTGAAAGTAGTGCCATAATGCATTAGTATTTTTAGATCACTCAGACATTTTTCAGCTGGAGGAAAATCTTTTCTTTTTTGTTAATTGTGCTATGAATAGATCTTAGGCTACTGAGGAGAAATGAGTAGATACATTGAAATGGTGATCCCTTGTGAGTTCAGGTGTACACCTGGCTGCTCTGAATTGCTTACCAAGCTGGGCTGCTGGAGCAGTGACAGCTTCTACCAGCTGTGGATCTGTCCCAAAGTTTCCTGGGCTTTCTACGAAGACGTGGCAAGCTGCCACTGCTCCCAGCTCCTCGGGGCTGTGGATTAATACTGCAGTTTAGACCCTGATCTTTCATTATGAATCACAATGGGCTCCTGCACTATTCAGATTGTCAGTAAAGAAACTTCAGAGCATCATCATTCATTAGCTGTTTTCGGTCCTTGAGATACAGTTAGCAAAAGCCGTGCATGTACTAATCGCAAATGAAGAGTGGAGAGGAATCAACTAGGGGAATGATGTTGGAGATGCAATTAACATTTCGAAAAGATTTTCTAAATGATGGGCTTGACCCTTTTCTGGAGTGAATCAGCATACTTGTGCTGATGGCAGGAGCTGCAGGAGAGTCCTGAGTCAGGACATATGCACACTGCCTTCAAGGCTTTCAAGAAGGTATCACAGAATTACAGAATGGGTGAGGTTGCTCAAGCACTTCTGATCACCACGACTTGTCAAAGATGATTGTGAGCAGCCCAGCTATGGTGTCTGTCAGCTCTCTTGGTACTCCTGGATGTGTCCTGTGAGCTCCCATGGACTTGTGGATATCAAGTTTGCATAGATGTTCTCTAATCCAATCTGATGGTTATGATAGTGGTTTAAAAATGTTGCATGATTTTCTTAAAGGAAAAAAATTTAAGGGAAAATCACAACACTGTTCTTTATATGTACCTTAAAGTGATGCATGTGGAAGATAAGGAGGATGAGCCTCTGTTACAGCTCAGCCTGTGGCCTCTGTGGCCTCTTGGGATTGGCAAAAAGCAACAGATATTACAGACATAAAATGCAAACCACAAGGCGAACCCAGCCCCATCAATAGTCAGAATAAGCAAAAGAGAAAGAATCATCAGGGTAGAGGATTTAAATACCTTTGTGTGGGTAAATTATCAACTCATTTCACTGGCCAAAGAGAGAATATCTCTGGAGACATTTTACTGAAGGCAGAAACCCAATTAGATTGTTACACAGCTAATAAAGTGTTTTCAGACAGAGAATTATTTTTAGTGCTGTGGCAATATTAAAGCATTAGAGCAAAGCATGTAAAAACAGAGAAGAGCACAGTTAGAAGCTTTTTGTCTTTAGGCTCCTAGATGGTTCATTTTTGAGGATTGGTTAGTGTTCTGGCAGTTTACCCCTGTTGCATTATCTCCTACACAGTGGCACCAGTGATAAATTCTGTTTCCTTTCAGAGCTAATGGCATTCTGGATATGCTGGAAACTTTTGTTGTCAGAAACATGGAAACACATGCATTCAGTGACATACTTGGGTTCCTTGCCTCCTCCATCTGGGTGAAAATTTACAGGGATCAAAAAAACCTCTGGCCTTTATGTCTTTATGTTAACAACTAAGGATGTTAAGAACTTTGATGAGGTGTGTTTGGGAAGTGATACATGACTGCTTCTGCATTAGTTAGCAAGATGCAGTCATTATGAATTGTTTTCATAAGAGTTTAATAACTGCATGTATTTGCCATGCAGCTTTACATTTTAGATTATCCTCCACTCCTTTTTCTTACACACTGTAGTTCACTTAGGTGATCTAAATACTTAGGATCTGCTCCTTTAGACAGAAGCAAACCCTTTCAGTGAGATCCTGCTTGAAGTTAGGGGCACAGTGAGATGAGTTCCAGAGACCACACAGTGCTTCCTCTGACCTCAGCAGAGATGGAAGGTGCTCAGCTCCTCCTGATTCACTGAGCCTGTGTGATGAGCAGGTTGGATGCCAGTTTGAAATGTGAACTTTTTGCAGTAACAGTGCTGAAACTGTAAAAGAGTCTGCATTTGGCCGTGGCATTGCTTCTCCTCAGTGCTGTCAACACCAAGACTCAGGGTGCAATAGCAAAGGAGAAAGCTGCTGCTTTGGTGATTATTGCTCAGATATTGATGTACCCAACCATCCTTCCCCCTGCATCTCCCCTCAGCACCATTTCTGCTGTATCTAATCATTGTGTTTCTTTATAAACAGTAATTTAGGACAATTAGGAGCAATAGCATAGTTAAACCTTTAAAAGGTTATCTAGCAATGTCATTTTCTTGACTAATGTGTTCCTGCTGCCATGTCGTTTGTGAATAGACATGTGTTAGCCAGCTAGTGTGCTTCATCTGTGGTGACTTTGATTTATTTGCTCTGTAAATTGGGACTGAAGCAATAATGGAAAGTGACATTAATTGTTTAACAGAGTCCTCTTTGTCACATCCTCTGCTTTCTCTGGGGTGTTTGAATGTTGAAACTTGTACAAAACTAATTGAAATTGCTGTGATGAGGACCGGTGTCCACTCAACTTTCTGTTCTTGAATGTCAGCGCACTTGAATGTCTGTTTAAAGCACGAGAGCTGAGCAGTTAACAGCAAATATCAGGGTTTCTTCTGGCATGCTATTATTAAAGAAGGCATTCCCTGTTAGAAATAGCAACATTTCC